TAAATCACATTAAATTCCACGGGCAAAAGTGAAAGTGTAGCCAGGCATGATGGCTTATGTCTTTGGTTCCAGCATTTGGGAAGCAGAGGCAGGTGGATCTCTATGAGTTTGAGGCCAGCCTGGTCTACACAGCAAGTTCCAGGTCAGTCAGAGCTACATGGTGAGACCCTATCCCAAAAAATTTGTTCAACATCCTTGGTAATTAGGAAAATGCAAATTAAAATTACTTTAAGATTTCATCTTACCCCAGCCAGAATGGCTAAGATGAACAAATGATACCAAATGCTGATGAAGATATGGGGAAAGGGGAACCCTCATTCACTGCTGGTGGGATTGTGAACTGGTGCAACCACTATGGAAATTAGTGTGGTATACTCTTTGAAAAGTTTCACAACTGCTAAAGTGCAGAGAATAAGTAAGTAACTGTGAGGTGCCCCGCCCTAAGTAACGTATCTAAAGTCCAACTTCTATACCTTGGGCTCAGGGAACATGGAGATAGAGGGGGCAGAAAGAATGTAAAAACCAGAGAAACAAGACACCTGCTGCTACTTAAGGTATTCTAGACATGATAGGGAAGTTGCACCAATGAAATCTCCACAGTACATAGTCGAACAAGATCTGCTTATAAAAACAAAACCAGAGGACATACCAAGACAGATGGGGGACATTTCAAGGGGTCCCACCTCAAGATGAAGAGCTCCAAGCAATCAATGGATACTGAGGAAGGGAGAATAAATTTTCTCTAGAGACAAGCTCCCTGAGAGGTTATCTAACTTCGAATGGGCAGTGTTAAACACAGGTACACAGAAGCACCACTGAATAGACTCAGTGTATTACATATATCAATAAATGTATGCATGTATATCAACAATAATAATAAGGAAGGGGACAGGAATTGAGAGGGAGTGGGGAGGTATAGGAGGAGTTGGAGGGGGACTGAGAGGGATGGAAATGGTACAAACTCTTATACGATGTTCGCAAAAAAATTAAAAAAATGAAATGCTAGGGAAATGATTTAATCAACCAAAGTAAAATTGGTTATAATAAAAAAGAAATAAGCAACCTTAGAATGATAAAAAAAGTGGAGAGCAAATGAAAATAAAATGGACAATTAGCAAAAAACAAAACAAAAAGCTGTATATGTAGCTTATTCAATACAGTAGTTTGAATTGCTATATTGAGACAATTAGGGTCTTAGTAAAGTGAGGATACATAATCAGAACAAAAACATTGTACCATTTTATATCTATTCTTGCTAAAAGAAGCATCATATATGATTTTAGTGCTAAGAATAGCACAGAAGGAATAGAATCCCTGCCTCTTGCACTAACCCTCCCCTTCACGTATCAGCAGCTTCTTTTTAAAAAGATCTTTTCTGATTCTCCTGGTCAATAGTATGTCAAAAGGTACCAGATGTTTGGAGGAGGCTTTCCTGCATGATTTTAAAGTATATACAAGATTTATTATAGATAGAAATGTAATTTCAGCCTTGATTTCTGTGCTCATGAGCCAGGTATAATCTGTCGTCTGGCCTCTCTTCAAATGGAACAGTTCTTATGTGTGGATTACTGGTACCAATGCCAAACACTCAAAACAACCACAGGATGTTACTAAAATAAGCTCTGCCTACACCTTGTTTCCCTCCAGAAAATTTTAAATTAATGTAAACACTTTTTTTTTTCAGAAAACATTTTGCGCATAGTCAACATTTAAAAGACGCTTTCGTGGGATAAGCTATGTGTGCACACAGAAACAGCTGGGCTATGTCTCAGCAGACTGTCAATGCCTTAAATTGCAGTATTTTTCTTCATATTTCTGACAGTAACAACAGGCTAGAAATACCTCTAATGTTCCCCAGGGTCCTGCCTAGTTCAGGGGTGCTCACAGCTCACACAATCATTGTGACTGGCCATGGAAGAGAATATGGGCTGTGCTTTATACTGGAAAACCACAAGCTACTAGAGGGCAGGATGAGATACCTGCCAGAATTACACTGATGCTTTCAAAGCAGATTCAGGTAGGGGCTGGAGAGATGGCTCAGTGGTGAAGAGTGCTTACTGCTCTTGCAGAGGACCTGAGTTCGATTTCTAGCACTCACATGGCAGCTAACTACTGTCCTTAACTCCAGTTCCAGAGGAATTGGATGCCCTCTTCTGACCTCCTCAGGCACTGCATGGCACAGGTACACTTACACACATGCAGGCAATACACTCATACCAATAATTATATACATATACAATAAATAAAATAAAAAGAAGAAAGTTTTGTTTTTAAAGAAAAAGTTAGTTTTTCCTTTTTCTATACTAGGTTCTCAGTAGGAAGCTGAATGCTGCCTGTGTGCAGGGCTCCAAGTTAAGCTTGTTGGAAGACTAGGAAATGCATTGTGAACAGGCTTCTTTCCTTCTTCTAAGATTAAAAGAAAACAATAACAACACAACTGCAGGGCTTCAGAAGTAGATGGAATACCATTGGGGTTTTTACTTGACGGCTTAAAACACTGCACCTTATATGTGAACTTTCTTTTGACATGGTCCAGATACCAACTGAATTCTACTTTTCTCTCTCAATTAAGTCTTGACATTGTAAAGATCATGAGAATGCAGCACTGATTTGCCTCCTGTTTTTGCTAACAGTTGACAGCATGCCATAGTTAATATTTAAGTGAGTATATAATAATTAAAGGAAAAGATCATGAAAGGTTTAAAAAAGGAAGTTCATATAGCCAGCATATATGGCACATGCAATTGGCAGGACCAGAGTACAAGGTTTGATAAAGACATATGGGGTAGTGGGGGGTGTGGGAGTCAGGGATTGCCGGTGCCAGCCAGAGAGAGGCATTATACACAGTTTTGGTTGACTACCAATTTTCTTACCAGTCTTTGCTACAGCTTTTATCATCTTGTATGATCTGGAAAGGGGAATTGGCACTTTTGACTAATTCATGCAACAAATGTGTGAACTAACACTTCCCACCCAGATGAGCATAAGCATAGTTTGCTGTATGACTACGTTGGTGGAGAATTCCCATATCATATCAAAACAGGAGAAAGAAAACCAAAAGAGTTTTCTTAGAGATGACTAAGACGGGCAAGTAGAGGAAGTATTTGAAGTGCATTCAGCGAGGACTACTCACCAGGTATATTTCATTAACATACAACCAATGCATGGTGGATTCATACTTTATTTTTAAAATCAAAATTGCTTTTAGATATACAATTTCAATCAAGTTGGCATCTAGAAAACCAGGAGATTGGAAGTAAAAGAATTTGTTGCATGTTAACCATCTAATGAGCATGGAAGGAAAGAAAACCAGTTGGGAGGTAATTATTGAGGGTCAGCAAGATGGTTCAGTGGGTAAAGGCACTTCCTGCCAAGCCTGATGACCCAAGTCCAATCCCCAGAACCCATATAGTGAAAGGAAAGAACCAAGTCATGCAAGTTGTCCTCTGGCTGCCACACACATGCTAATACACACATCCACTTCCATCAATATTTCAGCCTTACCAAAGGGAATACTGGGAACTCAGGCAATTTCAATCAAAAAGTGTAAATAATCAATATGGTTCCAAGGAACACTGTGAGGTTTAACCTGATTTAAAAATATGCATTCTTTTTAGATTTTCTTTGGTGAGACTATGTGTGTTTGGAGTACTTTTTGCCACAATTATTCTGTATCTTATATTGTAGAACAAGTTTATTCTTATCGTTCATTCATATCTTCCTCCAAGATCTCAGCAATGAACAAAAATCTTAGCAAAGAATCATGTTATTTTTGAGCCAGATGAGTACCTTAGTATTTCCTCTCTTAAAACGCCCTTGGTTTTCATATAAAAGTAATCTAAGACTCTATTAAGAGATTGTACCCTCACCTCACTGAAAATATAGAAAGCAGTCCTTCAACTTACTCACTCTGAACTGATTCTCAGACTTAATTAGATGACTTCCAGTTCAATGTACCTGCTGTAATTTTCTTTTTAGACTTCAGAACTATTTTCTTTGGCCTTCTTAAGTAGGATATTGAACCACTTGATGGCTTTCACTGCTGTAACCTCAGTATACCTGTTCACAGATAGGTTTCTCTGAATTCTAACACATCTTAGTTCTTTTTCCTATCTTGCCCATCTGAACCGTCAGAAGACTTTCCTGGTGCCTCTGAGCAGAGGTTTGCATAAAAGATGAAAGTCCTCTGAGGCTGAGAACGCAACACAACTGCCACTTTCACCTCTCAGCTTGTCACTCTGTAATTGCAGCAAATACTACTAAAGCACTTTTACTTGAAGGCCATTTGACAGAGGGGAAGAAAACACAGTTACTCTTTCAAGGCTTGCATATTTTCCTGGGAGAAGCCTGTCTATAAATTTTGTCCTTTTATCCTTGGCTATTTGGGAAAGATCTTTGGGCAGCCAATGTTCTGGATGATTTTTTTGCTACCCAACAACAGAGCTGTGATTCAGAGCCCTTCCCCTACATCAGCCTCACTTTCCCTCTCTCCTACCTCTGAACCCTGAATTCCTGTTCCACTGCTTCTGCGCTCAGAGCCCTGTTGTCTCCACAATGGGATAGGAAATTTGCATGTTCTGGTGAAAATACTGAGCTCTTTTCAATCTAGCAGTTTTAGGAATTGTTTTGTAAAATCTTTGATTATGTTGATTTAATACAAATAAAAAGAATTCTCTGAATGGTTTTTCTATAAGAATCTTTTGTGACTTGCTCCTTTTTGAAGAACCTTACTGAAATTAAGTAAGATTACATTATCAGAGGAGTAGCACTGATTGAATATAGCCAGGTTGCATGTCTTTAACAGGAAGTCTCTTGAAATATACAAAGAAGTCTTAGTTTGCAGGATTTTAAAAAAGAAAAGAAAACTACAAACACTGATATTTAATTTGCTAAAAGCTGTTTCAGTCTCTTTAAGTCATCTGAACTTTTGAAATACCAAACATCACAAACACTTGGCGGTCTCAGGTCTTGGTTGCTGGGCCTGTTTGAATGCCTCTTACCTATGAACAGGTTCCACTCAGTGTCCAGATCGGCCTGGTTGGCCAAGCAGCCCTTCATGACGTTGAGGCAGTAGTTGTTGCAGGGCCTCACGGTGGGCAGGCCTCGGCAGTATGGGCAGTACAGCATCTTCATGAGAGCCCGGATGCACCCTGGGGTGGGGCTGACCTGTAGGTGTATCAGACAGGAAAAGAAAATCAGAGCCAGGAAGTGGGGTGAGGTGTAGGGAGCAGAAGTCATAGTCTCCTAAACAAAATGAAAAAAATAGGCAAAATAGCTTTTCTGAACCTCAAGCAGTCAGGCAGAGGATTAAAGTGACTATCAGAATCTGAATTCTTTAATTTTTGATATAGAAGCCAGTCAATTCCTATTAAATACTTCTGCTCAGAGAAGTAACAACTTTTTGAAATGTCCCTGTCAACATTTTGCTCTCTGTCACTGCAGTTCAGCCCTAAGACACAGACGCTGTTTCATTGTTACAGAACCTGAAGCACGATAATGTGTGTGAATTCAACTTGCAGAATAAAAACCTGTAAAGACGTTGTTACTATTAAAGTTTAATGAGACACCTCTAGCAGAACTTCCAACTGGTTACTCGACTGATTTCTAAAGGAGGTTGGAGGATATCCTTCTTGTGTAGACTTTTTAAAACTGAATTTAATTTTTGAGAAATTCATACATGAGTATTGTATTCTCACTCTTTCTATCTGCTACCCCATCCCTTCCAACCATTCCATGTCGCCTCTGTTCTCCCTCTCAACTCCTTGTCCTTATTGTTTTCATATATACAAAGGTTCAGTATCTGGGATTTGTGACTTCCAGACCTGCATAGAGGAAATGGATCTGCTAAGGCACTTATCTTCAAGCGTCTGAGGGAACAGGATCTAGAAAATTCATAGAAAATGTACCCAATATAGAATGCAAGCAGGAATTCTTGTAGTAATTCAGACAAGTTTAACCCCCTGACGATGAAGTACTATTTGCCAGGAGCAAGAAATACAGTGTTCCTAATTAATTCTGAACCAGTAAGGACTAGCTACTGAACATAAGCTACTGAATAGAGGAAGACCGGTCCCTGTGAAAAGTCATCCTTCAAGACAGACAGCCATCACGGTCAGGAACTCAAAGCCATGAGGATAGCTGCACTGGATGTGCATAACAATGAACCCACCAACAATCAAGCATGGATGGAGGAGGGACTTAAAGACCTACTGCTTACGGATGAGCTACTGATAGAGTCAGGGGAGAGGGAGAATTGTTGCCCTTAGTTCTATACCCACTGGTGACCCTGCCAGGTTCCAATGGATAAGAGCTCATTTAAAAAGCCACATGATTGACCGAATGGGTCACAAAACAAAAGCAAATGTCATATTTTGGGAAAAGAACTGGTAGGGATTGGGTTGGTGGGGTGGTGTTTGACAGAGAGGGGTGGGGACTCAAGAGTGTGAAGAGAAGAATTCAAATACATTATATAAATGTATGAAATTTTCAGTAATGTAATTAATCATTAAAGAAAAAATATAATATTATTCACAATAGAAAAAGAATTATAATTCAACTTCCAGAAGGGGGGAAAATACTTAAGACAGCATAAACCAACAACAGAAAATGAAATTCAGAAAGCCCTTTTGCATGTCCTATTTATTTTGTTGATTTTTAATTAATGTTGGTGCTTCTGCCAAATAACTGGGTGTCTGTTGCTATACTCATATTTTAGACACAAGAAAAAAATATAGGCAAACCTCTGTCATTTTCACCTCTTTGAGAGTTGTGGTCTTACCAGATAGATAGTGTACGGGTGGCCACATCTACCTGCAAACACTCCAAGACTGTAGCATGTCACCAACAGAATGCTGGGACAGGAGGAAGCATTCCCTTGCAGCACGACACTAGCAACAACCACAGCAATTTGCTGCCATTTTATCCTTTACCCAGAAACCAAACTTGTAGATTTGGCAAAGCCTTGGTTTCTATAACAATTTTGAATTATCTTACAAAAAATTTTCTAGGACTTTGGACATTCAGAAAAGTTCACATGTGTTGCAAATAGTCATAATTCTAGTCCTAGGTTGTACAATTTATATTTTTATGCACTCACATTTTTGTGAACTATCCATCTTTCTATTCATTTTTGGTCTAAGTTTATTTCTATAACAAAGTAATATTCTTCTGATTTTTACTTTTTCCTGTTAATTTATGTAAAAAAGCTGGTGTGAGTAAAACAGAATCACCACAATCAACATTCAGAGCTAGCACATAAAGAACTTAAAGTCAAAGAAGGAAAATAAACAAAGTCAGAATTGCTTCATAAACATATTTACAGAATACTTTCAGAGTCATTCACTCTACAAGTGAATAGTTCAACCACAAAAATAAAAGTAAAACAAAAATTTAAAAAAGAAGCAGACACAAACTCTGTGGACAGTTTTGAGGGCATATCAGTGTCTAGATAGCTTATTCTCTAGTTGCCAAGTTCATTGAGAACACCAAATTGAGCCAAACTGCTTTAAAAGTTTCTTTATCTACAAGTATCTCACCCATCCATATATCCATCCATCCATCCATCCATCCAGAAAGAAGGAAAGAAAGAAAGAAGAAAGAAAAAAAGAGAAGAAATAAAAAAAAATGTGTCGTCCCAAACTATGTTAATGTGGACTTTGAAACTTATGCACATTTTCATCATATGGAATGGATTTCTTATAATCCTTTCCTTACCATATATATATGTTATTTATTGTTTTTCTTTATGTGTATGAGTGTATTGCCTGCATGTCTGTAAGTGCATCTGTGTTGTACAATGCTCATGGAGGTCAGAAGAGGGCATCAGATCCCCTGGAATTGGAGTTACAGCTTTTAGCCATCATGTGGGTGCTGGGAACTGAACAGCAGGTCCTCTGTGAGAGTTGTCAGTGCTCTTAACTGCTGAGCCATCTCGCCAGTCCCCTCCTTACATGATTTTATGTTATAGAGTTTTACTTTTCGTAGCTGTCCATTCTTTCTCCTGATGCTTCTCTCCAGAAACCTGCCCTGTTTTCTCTCAGGCTTACTAAGCTATCTCCTTTGATTGTAAGCTTTTAATTTTCTTACTATAGGTGTTTTACAATGCTTAGCTTCTTTTTACTGGAGTTGCAGCATAAAACCTAAGCTTTGGCTGGTAATGGGGATTCAAATTTGTCTTGGACAGCCATGGCCACCTTATTCAGCATTATTATCATTGCCACTCTACACAACACGTGTATATAATATTATGTTCTACCTTTGTATTGTGTTATGATTTTGGTACTTGTTAGATGCTTTTTGAAGCGACCTGTCTATTCTCTTACCCAGTTTCTTGACCACATTGATATTCAAAAGAAAAAAGAAAAGAACAGGATGGTTTTGTACATACTGACATTCAGCTGTGGCTTTTTAACTTGATCATCAAAAGCTATTGATTACATTAATTCTAAAACGTTGGGTTTTTAAAAAAAATATATAATTGTGTTGGGAGCAGTACATTTTCTCAATCTGACACTTCAGTAGAGTTTCCAACTCAGTGTAGAAACCAACAGAGAAAAATGAACAGCCTTAATAACCTGTAAGAAAAATGTTGTTCAAGTGTGGGTCTCTGAGCACTTTCGATAATGATATCCTTCTTGGTCAAAGAAAGGGCATTTGAAGAAGAAAAGAGAACTCAGGGCCTCAGAACTGAAGCATTCATGTTCAAACATTACAGTTTTTGAGCTTATCCAATTGCATGCCTGAATTAAAAACAAAAAAATAATCAATTCAAACTGAAGTCTTTTGGAAGCAAGCTTCTAAAAAGAAGGTAGCTTTAAACATCAAGTGTGTGAAGGCTTGTTTCTATTTTTAATATGGTTTTATAATTATAGTATAACTATTCCTTAAACATTTTTTGATTTTTGAAATGTAGATTCCCAAGAAGTTGATGAGATAGTAAAGTCGCAGATAATCTTCATTCCTGTGTCCTCAGTGTTGATGCCTTACACAGTTGAGGGTAACTATGAAGTTGATAACTGACATCTTTGCATTGATAATGATGTTAATCAATCCACAGATTCAATTTTCATGGCTTTTTGAACTTGTGTGTGTGCTTGTGTGCACATGGTTCTGTGTAATTGCATCCCATGTATGGATTTGTGTAAACACCACATAGTCAATATATAAGTCCTTTCCACTACCACAAAGAAGCTCTCCTGGGTAATCTCTGTCTTATTTCCATCCATGTCACCTGTCAATTAGCAATTTACTTTCATATGCATAGTCTTCTCATTTGTACATAACAATGTGAAAAGTTTTGATCATGACATTTTCGTTTATTCCCCCTTGAGGCCAAATTCAAGTGTGTTATATGTGTTACTAGTTCATTGCTCTTTATTATTAGTGTTTTTAAAGATTTCCTTTTATAAATTCATCATCACTATTAGTGTATATAGGTGTGTGTGATGTGTGTGTGGGAGGGTGCTTGTGTCCCAATGTGGACACAATATGTGCATGTGAAGATCAGAGGACAATTTTGTAGAGTCTGTTCTCTCCTTCTACCTTTATGTAGGTTCTGGGGATTGAACTCAGGTCACCAGGCTTGTTTGGCAAATTTACTCATTGAGTTATCTCTCCGGCCCCTCCTTCCTTTTATCACTGAGTAGTAGTCCACAATTTGGAGGTACCAGAGTATATTCAACTCTTCTTGGACTGGAGGAAAGCTGGGTCATTTCTGGCAATTCACTATTAAGAACAAAACTTCTATGAATATTCATATATAGGGCTTTACATAAACATGTTTTCATTTTTTCTAGAATAATTACTAGAGTACAAGTGATAAGTTAAATGATTATATTTAATTTTGTAATATATTGCTAAGCATTTTCCAAAGTTTCTATAATAGTTTACACTTTGATCAACTGCATATATAAGTAAGCCAATCTCCCAAATCTTTGTCAATATTTAAATATCACTATTTTTGAAAAATTGTAGCCATTTCTATAGGTGTGCTATCATCTCCTTTTAATTTGATTATGCATTTCCTCTGGATAACACTCTAGCAGCATTCTTGCCTGACTAGGTTCTAATGACCACCAGATTCCAAATCTTTTACTAGCAGGTCCCTAGGCAATATGCAAAACAGAAAGTCTGAAATATTAAACTTGCATATTTTAGTAAAACCAACA